TATCTATCTATCTATCTATCTATCTATCTATCTATCTATCTATCTATCTATCTATCTATCTATCTATCTATCTCCAGAAGAGTTATTTTGGCATATGAGGCAGAAAATCCCACAAGTATTTCTCTCTGACAGGTAAAGAATACAGAATAAAATAAAAATAGCAAACCATGAACTGCCCTTTCACAATGGCCAGAATTTCCTATCTGAGGCAAGTGCCTTACTCTTTGTAACATAAGGCATGGCTTTCCCTAAAGATATCTACAGAGAGGATAAAGTTAAGGTTAATGTAGATTTTAAAAATAATTTTATTTGACATGCTACACTGAGAATATGGAACAGACATAAACCCAGGTTGTGCCCAAAAATATCTTGGTGGCTCTCAGCATAAGAAGCATTTTATAGAAGAGAAATGGTAAGTAAACACAAATGGCTAACTTATTGGGACATATTAGAATTTTCTCAAGGACAATGCAAAATAAAATGTAGAGAAGATCTGGTGGCAGAAGGTTACACTTGTCAGTGGTTTTCTTATTTACAATTACTACAAAGATTTAAAGTAGATAAAAGAACTTTTGATTCTGAGCATTGTAAGAGTGAGTTTGAAACAGAACTGTATACAAATGATAAACATGTTATTGCTAAAATATATAAACTATGGAAATTTGAAACAGAAGAACAAGTGAAAGAATGTATGATAAAATGGGCTAAAATGTTGGTTACTATATACAAATGAAACAGTGGGAGAACATGTGGTTGAAAGGATTGAAATTTACATTATGTTATAATCTTAAAGAGAATTTTTTATAAAATGATGTATCTTTGGTATATGTCACCAGAAAAATTGTCTAGCATGTATAAAGGTATTTCAAATTTATGTTGGAAATGTAAACAACAAAAGGGGACATTTTATCATGCTTGGTGGACATGTAAAAAAGCCAGAAAATTTTGGACTCAATTACATATATTAATTTAGAAGATTTTAAAGATTAATGTGCAATTGAGAGGCTTTTCTTTTGGAACTGATCGATAAACAGTTGAAAAAAAGTCATGGAACTTTATTTTTTATACACGATAACTGCAGTGAGGTTATTATATGGACAAAGGTGGAAAGACTTGACATTACCCACAATGGAGGAATGGATGGTGAAGATGATGGAACTTGCTGAGATAGCCAAACTGACAGTTTGATCAGAGAAAATATATTAAATAAGTTTAATGCTGACTGGAAACCCCTTATAGACTTTTTACATGAAACATATAAAAAATGAAATTATGATACAGTATATGCTTTTGATGATTAGAAAAAATAGATTATAGAAAAAATGTAAGTCATGTTGTGACCATAGAGTAAGAGGTTAGTTTATATCTAGACTTATAACTGTTATAAAGAAAATTGGAAGCTACTTCTTTATTTTTTCTTTTTTTCTGCACTTTTGGCTTTGTTCTTTTCTTCTCTTTTCTCTTCTTTCTTTTCTTTATTCTAAATATTACTGTTAGTTTTTATCTTTCCTTTTTAAAATTTTAATATATATAGATATAGATATAACTTTATTAAAATTTTATATATAAAAATTACTGTCTGGTTCAGCCACATCATTCAATAGTGCCTGCTAAGACATATAGGTGACATCATCAAGTTAGCATGCCAAAAAGTATAATTGTAAAGAAAAGCCATTAAGGTTGAAGTTATAAATGGATACAGCTATCAAAGCAAACACATTTATTCAAAATATTGGAACCTATACTAACATAATCCAATTTTACAGGCAAAAAGTCCCCTTAAGTTGCTAAAAAGTGCTTTTCTTCAACATTTGGCAGCCAAACGCAACACAGATTTGTACTGAAATTGCTTTAGAAAAACAATTTAAATCTAAGACTTGAATATCTAGTTCAGAAATTTGTTCATAAAAAAATAAGAGACCAGGTCCTAAATAAGAACATTCACTTTTTAAGAATTATTTATATCTGTTTCTCTTGTTCTTATTTTCAGAAAATGTGCTACACAGCATTTCAGCTGTCAAGTGGAATCCTGCCATGCCTTGTCTTGAAAAAGCTGGTTTGAAAGTTGGATGATTTCTTTTTAATATTGCATGTCTCAACATTCTGCAGAGCCAAACACAGCTTGAAATAGCTAGTTTGAAAAATGTACGTGACATGATCCTTTCCCATGTAATGTGGTATCAATCTGGAAGATACTTGCCAGCTAGGTTAATTAGCTCCTATTTTACTTCAATAGAGGTAGTCCTCAATTTATGAACATTCATATAATGACCGTTTGAAGTTACAATGGCGCTGAAAAAAGTGACTTATGACTGGTCCTTGCACTTACAACTGTCGCAGTATCCCCAGGGTCATGTGATCAAAATTCAGGTGCACTAAACTTACCATGGTTGCAATGTCCCACAGTCATATGATTGCCATTTGCAACCTTCCCAGGGGGCTTATGACAAACGAAGTTAATGGGGGAAGCCAGATTCGCTTAACAACCGCAGTGATTCCCTTAACAATTGCAACAAAAAAGGTCATAAAATCAGGCGTGACTCACTTAACAACCTCATCTCTTAGCAATGGAAGTTCCAGTCCCAGTTGTGGTCATAAGTCGAGGACTACCTGTATATGCACAATAATACTTTCAATACATGAGCCAAAATGGAAAACATGATCTCTGCAGATACCTCCCTCACCCCTTTCTAGCTTTTCACTTTCCACAGTGGCTATATACTTAATGGAAGGCCACAGCTAGAGAATAAATTTTTATGCAGAAATTTCTAGATCCAATCTCAACATCCCAAGGTATTTCTAGTCTCAGATCCTAGAAAGTTAATAATATAGTCAGTGTCAGTTATACCAATGAACTAACAGTCTGTCTCAGTACATGACAATTTATCCAACAAAAAAGCTACAGAGTCAGAAGATTCTTCCTGGATCTGTAGCCACACAGAAAGAACCATAGTAGAAACAAAATATATATTAAAGAAATGTTTTATTTAAGGACATTTTGGTTGAACCACATTGCAATTTCATGTAAATTTGTAATATTTAATCACAAGGGGTCTTCAAAGTAGGTTGGTTCTCTCCATATATATTTCATGGTTCATACTGAATTATGATCTCATTCTATATAAAACAAAATGTTTTATTGGCTTGTTTTCTTTATGACTCTTTAACCACACTTTATTAACAATCATGATTCTTTCTTTGAAATCCAGGAGCATTTAAGCCAAAAGAAAAAAAAGTGGAGATTGTAAAAGAAAGTAAAGAAAAAGCAACGTGCTGAAATTACAAAATGGATTAAAAAGAAAAAGAAAAACAGAACAGAATAGGGCCATATTTGCCAAATTTGTCATTGTGCCAGCTGAGCTATATAGAATTACTTAACTGTATTTTTCATATAAAAATAATTCCATGGCAACTCAAGTTATTAATGTATTGTGTGGTGTTTTGGATGGTGATACTGGCCCCTCTCCCAAGCAGCACATAGATGGATACATGCCCGTGGGATTTTCCCCTAATTTTGAACAGTCCCTTTAAAAGGGAAGCAACTTTTCTAATAAAAATAAAGAGTCTACTTTCAGCCAAGATATTAAATATGAATGCCACATAATAATTCAACATTTTAAAAGCATGATTTTTGTTCCAAAGAACAAAGCAATGAAAGGAATGCATTTTTTTAAATCCTTTGCTACCATGTTTTTAAAATGTCTAGGTTGCAATTAGGTAAAACAATCACTATACAACGAATTTAATTCTGATAAACTCTGAGTTCTTCAGATGTTTATGGGGGTCTCAATGGCAAGATCAGTAATCAGACAAGCTTCATAGAGGGCAGTTTATCCATTGTGAGTAATTTTCTGCTCTGTACAGAAGCAGTCAAATTATGCCAGATGTGTGATAGATCCTGTCTGCAATTCAAATGCTCCCCCCCCCCGCAACACCTCTGAGGCCTCATGAACTATATATGCACCTGAGAACACATCTTAAATGTTCATTGTTGGCGAAAGACAGAGTATGGAAAGGATTTGTGAATTTAGAAAATCTGCAAACTACTAAAGAAATATATCTACATTTCAGTGGTTGGTTTCCTGGTTTCTATCTAGAGTAAAAGTTTGCTGGTAAACCAAAAGGGATCAGAAGTGCTTGTCTGCTCTGATAAGGCCTGGGTGATATCCATACTGCTTCTTCCTGTCTCTGTAAACTGAATAAAAAGTATGAAAATGGAATCTGTGTAGCCCTGTCTGATTTAATCAGATTCCGGAACCCATACACATATCCATAGCATGACTTTCTTTAAAGTATAGTAGTATTTCTAGTAATAAAAGTATAAATAATGTAAAACTGGTTATAAAAGTATAAAACACAAGTAAAAGTATAGCATAAAACACAAGTATAAAACACAAACAGGTTGAAACTATTGGGGGTTGAGATGACAAGAAATATTCAGAATACAGTCAAGCCTCTATTATGGAGAGGAAGCAAATAGATAAGGATTTGGGCTGGAGGTATATTTGGAATTTTGAGTGAATGTTATTGTTATTCTCACAAAATGGCTGCCAAGGTAGACATGGCCAGTCACAAAATGCATCAGATCAAAAGGCAAACAAAGCACTGGGCTTCAGCTAGCCATCATTTTATTTTCTAAGAATGCCACTGGGATCTATGTGGGGCCAGAAACATTGTCGGAAATAGAAATCATAGTTGAGGCTGATTCTTTGCTTTTGTAGCATGCTAGTTTTCTATAAACTTAATTTAAAAGAACCGAAAAAGGTTATGAAGGACACCAAGAAACCATTGGTGGACACACTATCTTCCCACTATACTACACTACACTGGGGTTATTTCCCTGCATTTATTTCTTATTTGTTATCATTGTTATTTGTTGATTTCTTATTTGTTATCATACCATACCAGTGTTTCTCAACCTTAGCAACTTTAAGATGTCTGAACTTCAACTCCCAGAATTCCTCAACCAGCTATGCAGTTCTGGGAATTGAAGTCCAGGCATCTTAAAGTTGCTAAGGTTGAGAAACACTGTACTACACCTTCTGTTGCCCACAGTGTGCTGCACTAAAATATAAATAATATTTTCAATATAAATGTAAATAAGTACCACTAGATGGCATTATCAATTTCCTTGTAGTTTATATGAAAGGCTGTTTACAAATGTTAATGTTTTCTATTTCATACATCTACATAGTATCTTGAAGAATAGTCAGTACAATGTGGGCTGGGCTTTGGAACTCATGTCAAGTTCATAACATAAATACCTTTATGTACATGACCATGATCCTATCCCTATCCAAATATCTGAGTTTCCTTTTCAAAATTACATTTTCTAAATTTTCTAAAATAATGAAAATCTACAAAACTACTTTGATTCAGCCGACTAATCCTTCCTTTCTTCCTCCCTTTTTTAATGTTATTTTAAGATAACATCCAATCTGAAAAAGAATCCTAAGTATCTTACTTTTTTCCAATTTTTTTGGTTGGCCCTAAAAGATTATTCTACTGATGTCTCATTTCTTAGTTAGTTAGTTTATGGCCATGGCTGATCATTTATCCAATTTTGCACAGGCCTGTGCTCCATCAACTGTTAGCAACTGAACAGCAGATTGAATAGGTACATAGGGCACTCCATTGCAGTCTTCTTCATTGTAAAGAAATACAGTAACATGTAAGAAGTCTATTGATAATGGCTACAAATTGGTGCCCTCTTTCCCCTCTCCTTTGGTGACACATGTACATTTATAGACCAATTTGGCTCCAAACAATTACAATTGAAATCTTTATTTTTCTGCCTTTCTTTTACTTGCAAAATATGCCTTATTTTCCCCAAAACAATTTTTCTCATAAATTTATAGCTGAGAAATAGCACAGCTGCATTTGCAATGTTTGATAAGTGCTAAGATTTTGTAATGCTTAAGATTTGGTGACAATGATTGGCAGAGCAAGAAATCTGTATGGCTAAGAGAAAATGTGTTGCTGTGAGTACATGAAGGATATAATAGCTCTTTTTCTTCCCAAAATTAGAGAGGAGAATATTTTTTTCTGAGGAAAACTTTCACAAGGAAACTATTCAGAAAGATTTGTATTCATCTGCTTCAATGATAGGAGTGAAATAAATTAAAACTGTAATTTTAAAAACCAACAAAGATAGCATAACATAATTTGAGAAAAGTTATGTTACATGCCTTGAAAATAGACACCCAACAGCTTTTAGAAGGTATTGCAGAGTACTTAGAAGACATCACTGTGTGCTTTTAAAGAGAGAATGCCATAAGGAGAAAATCTCTTTCCACAGTCTCCACAAATGATAAGATGGTCTATTTGAGATGTAGGCTTTCCTTAGGATAAGGATGATTTGCAAACTTCGCTGTGCAAGTATAGCATCCTTCCTGAAAGCATTAAAGCAGCTGTATCCTCCAGAAAACTCCACATGGCAGTTTTTAAGAGTTTCTCTGGCTGTCTGCATGTGTGCATATGCAAAGCCGCTTCATTAGCAAACTTCTGGTAAAAGCTTTGGAAGAACCCATTGTGGAGGATGCAGCTGCTTTAATACTCCAGGGAGGGGTATTCAGTTGCACAATGCCCCTTGTGAAGTGACCCTTCTGAATGCTTTGCATGGCCCTATGATTTTAAAATATAAGCATCAATATTTTGAATTACACTTAGAATGGAGCCAGAGCTCTTTAAGCACAACACAAGTCACAGGTTGTTCCCATCAGTTGGAAGCTTAGCGCTAGATAATGGCACATTTTCCAAGCAGTCTTCAAAGGCACATATAATATCTTGCAATAGTCTAGCCTCAAAGTTTATAAAAAGTAGATAACCATGATCAGGCAGTCTAGCAGGGACCAAACCTGATGAAAGGCACTTTGGATTCTGGTTACAAAATTGACAAAGACCCCCAGATAGCAAACCTATCCAGAATTGACTCCAATTAGAGATAACAGAGTCAGGCCTGATCCAAGACATCACAACAGTATTTAGGGTTTATCCTGCAACTTTAATCAACATGCAAATATGAGCAAAGCGGCACAGCAAATATTTACCAATATACTCACATAAAAGAATCCCAGCGGTCCTGAGATATATGGCATTTTCATTCCCAAGAGGTACTTCACTTGCGAAGTCACAACGTGTGTAGCTGCCCCAGTTGTCATTGCACTTATCACTGGCTCTGTTAGCAAGAAGGTAGCACTGCCCAAGTGTAGCATAAACATTGCTACCTGAGAAACCAGAGATATCACAGAGATTACATCTAAATGCAGTTACTGATTCTAATATAGGAAAGAGATAGGCCTATCCGTGTTCTTTTTTTTTTTTTAATAGTGGGATGTGATAGCTCCATGAGCTAATCAGGTAGAAGTTATTTCATTATGCACTGCACCCATGAATAAACTTTCAACACATGTTAACTTTCATACATTTATTACAATGCTATCTCTCTCATATTGCTAGTTTTCCACCAGGCTCTGCACTGAGATTAGTTATAACAGCTGGCTCTGCCAATGTATATTCATTGTGGTGACCTCTCTGAATGTTGGCTTTGAGTTATTTCAATATACAAACATTATAAGCTCTGCGGATGGGGAAAATATTAAGCTACAGCAGTCAGGCTAGATACACTTAAAAAGCCATTCAGTTCATAAATTTCTAACAGATTTGAAATGTAAAAAGTCAGGTTTCTGAATCCAACAAACTGAACAGGTAGAAGAAAGAGCCACAGTTGTATGTATGTATGTGTGTGTGTGTATGGATGGATGTTTCTTTGTTAGATGCATAGCTCATCTTTTCTTCAGAAACTCAAGGAGGTACACATGGACACCCTCCTCTCATTTTTCCCCACAAGAGCCTTGTGAGGTAGGTAGCTTTGTCAAGTCCTGCACCAAGGGCATAGTCAAGGAAACAAGAATCACAGAGACTTCAATGAGGCAATAATTAGGGGTAAAGTATAGAACCTTGGAAAGTGTGTTAGAAATTTCTAATCCTAATCCATTAAGGCACAGTTTCTTTGAAGGTTTTGGATCTCTTCCTGAGCTTGGATTAAGCTGCCGTTTTTGAGATAAACCATTAATGAATTTTGCCCATTACACCCAAAGTCTGCTAAACCAAGAGCCGTTAAGTAGAAGTCAAGTGCTGATGGAAGTTGTTCAGAAGTTCAAGGCAACCACTGCTTCTGAACCATTGCACTTTACTAAACATCCTCTGGGAGATAATGTTTTATTTATTTATTTACATATGATATTTATATTCTGCTATATCTATTATCATCTAAAAATGAAGGTTGTATGCTGGGAAATAAAAGTCAACAGCTTTAGCAGCTCAGACTTGTTCTTGATCATTGCCATACTGACCTTGCATTATTTTGTAGTTTTTAAAAAGAAAAATCTCAGCAGAGCATGAACGCAGCCATTCAGAACATCCCAGCAAGTTTTGCTGTTGGCCTTTCTTTAGAACAAAAAGATCATGTATAGTTTGCACATTGTGCTCTAGGCTATGATTTGCTAAAGCATGGTTTGTGATGCAAGCCACAATTTGTCAGGTTCACACAACATGGTAAACCATGAAAATGGTGTACAAAACAAATGTCAGCAGGACTAATGAATATGATCACTCTCCAAACACATGTGTTTAACGATTGTCTATTTGCCATGTTAAAAATTACAATGTGCTATCGACTTCTGGAGGTCTCTGGAGGTTGTACTGATGAAAAAAGAGAGTAAGATGGAAGGAAAAGAGGAAAAAAACATAAAAAGACCAAAACTACTGAGAGATGAAAGATTTAATAAAATAAAACTCTGAAAAGAAATAGATTTCCCAGACTTCTGTACCCAGTGCAGGTCAATTCAAAAGCACGCCTTACCTCTCCATTGGATAAATAAGGATTAGAACAGAAAAGACTGATTAGCTTTTGTGGTCATGCTCAGTGAGAACAAAAGATGTTTTCTTTCTGATAGTATTTATCAGTAAGTAACGATAAGACTTTTAAACAAACCAAGAGCCAGTGCAGAAAAGCAGATTCCAAAAGCAAAAAAAGATAGCCAGTTCTATTGCTAATATAAGCTTAACTTCTATTACTGTAATATTTCATTCAGATATTCCATTCAAAGGTGATTCAGTTGAATCTCATATTAGACAAACTGGGTACCTGTAAAATTAATTTGGATGCTTCTATACATATGCACAGATACTTTTTTTCCCAAATCATTTCTAAATGTTTCTATATTCAATCAATGATTTGAACTGCATGTTGTCTAATTTGCAAAGGCCTATAACTGAATGGAAAGAAAGCATATATGCAGAAGTTTCTGAGAGCCACTTAATAGGTTATACAATTTCTATGAAAATTGCTTTCATGTCAAAACTGGAAAAATCCAGTAGTACATTATGCGTTTAATCCAGGCACACGTGTCCATTTTGCCATGTATTCCCAAAAATAAACATGCAATACAGCAACACAAATTATTCTTCACCTTTCATGCATTCACATTTTTTAGAGACTGAACCTATACCAGGAAATTGGAAGAGCCACAATTATCATTTCCAGTTATAAGAGCATATGTGCAAATTATTGTTTGAACTGATTTATAAATGGTATCCTATGATATAAGCAAAGTCACTAGAGTTACTGAGATAATTCACTTTTTTATGAAACTGTGCATGGTAATTGTAGAACATGCAGCTATACCCTACACTAACATTTGCTATGCAAGGAAAAGGAGAAGATGGTTTCTCCATTCATTTCATGTACAAAAGTCAACCAAATTAACATTGCTGATACAGCAATGAGATTTTTTTGCAAACACAATCACCCCATTGGTGAGTTATAAAACCATGCTAAGCCAGAGGCATGACCTAAAATCATGCAGAGCAGAGGCATTCAAGATATGTAGAATTATAGCTTCCGTCATCCCTCATCATTGGCTATGCCTCCTAAGGATGCCAGAAGTTATAATTTATTAACCTCTGGAATGCCACAGATTATTTACTCCTGTATCAGACTTTGTTCAGTTTTGAATCAGTGTGTTGTGAGAATCTAGGTACTGTGGTTTGTAAGCCATGTTTATATTTATTGTGTTACATGAGCTCTTGGAACATATGACAATATTGATTGTCAATTTCAACTTACATGACAAATCATGATTAAGCAATGTCTTAATACAGTATGTGAAACATAATCTCAGATCATGCGGAAATACTTCCTTCCATGTTGGCTTGCTTCTCCTGGGAACTATTTTAGTGCAAGAACTGATTCTCCACATATAAAATTGGCTATTCTGAAAAACTTACTTGAATCAGCCCTCCCAGTAATGAAACTGCTGCAGCAACTCCAATCCGCTGCATCTCAAACTCAGATAAGCCCAATACTGCAGATGTATTGTCTGTAGTGGAATTGCTGTTTATGGGAGGAACAAGACGCTCAACAGCATTTGCAGAAATCAAGGAGGTCAGAGCAAAGGTTCCTGCAAAAGAAGAGAGAGGATTTAGTTTTCATTTAATTCCTATCAAATGACTCTAAGTTGCTTAGGAGGAAAGAAATACCACTGAAATCAATGGCAAGGTTTTCATGCTACAGTTAAGCCATGATTCAATTGCTAGGTTTGGGCTTGACATGTTGACATGAACCCAACTGTTACATTTAAATTACAAAATATGGCTTATTATGATTGACCTTGCTCATTTATAGTCTATTTAACAAAAACATGGTTAAATAAACCATACCTAAATGTGATGTATGATTCCAGACTATGTCCAACTAATTCTAATTTTAACTTGAATTCATTGTGAATATTTTATAACCATTTTAAAGTTCCAAGAGTTGTGAGATATGACAATATTGATTGATTAAATTCTGCTTATGGTCAGTATGCCATTTCTACATTCAGATACCCTAGCTCTAAGCCTTCCCTGTATATATTTTGCTTTCTGCAGACATCATCTTTATACGCTCTTGCCATGAGCATTCATTCCCATATTCAGAGCTCCATTTTTACATTATACAAATTCTGGGCAACAAGCTGTTCACTCTTTTTTGCGTGTACATGAGTCATACGCCTGCATGCACATGGAATCCTCATGCAGAGGCTTGTCTGAAATCCTTTTGAAATATTTCCAGGGATAGCTTCCTATCCAACAGAGATCTAAGCTCCATAAATGTTAATTGTAAAATAAGGGGGAGAGGTATAGTTTAGAATAAGTAGAAGCTGATACTTTGCATGAGAAATCAATTGCTGATTGTCCGGGTAAAAGAAACAGACAGTATATAATAGAAAAGACTTCTATCTTTTTAGAGAGTTAGTATCTGTTCAAGTAGACAATACAGGCCTAGATGGACAAATAGTTTAGCCTGCGCAAAGCACTTTTCCCTTTTCCTATGGACCGGATCTGCAGCCATCAGTCAGAAATCTAAGAATGCCTTCCTATATGACCCCTTCCTAATAGGTGGGACTGTTAACTACACAAATTTTTGGCAGCATAGTCAACAAGTATGCTGACTGAAAATTATGGGAACTGTAGTCTGGTACCTCTAGGAGGAAAAAGGTTGCAGAAGGTTTTAATTTAATTTAATTTGCTATATTTTAAATCAAATGTAGTTAATATCGTTATTCTTTAATTATGTATTTAATACTTGCTTCCTTCTACTAGTTTGCTAAACATTGCTAAACAGTTACAATTTGGTAATTCTTGAAGATCTTTAGGAGTAAAGTCAAGGATTTTGAAGGCCTCAGGTTATTCATCTCTGGTATATGTTAGAGACTTTTACAACACATGTTTAAACATGTCTTTAAGATTACTTAAGAAAGCAGTTAAAAACTTATTTTAATATAGGCTTTACTGTTTCCACTACTATACTCAGAATGTGCCCCTAAACTGAATACTCTCATCCTGGAGATTCTCATTTCCTTTAAAGATAAACTAAATACTATAACAGCAGAATCTATATCACCCATACCATTCAGATCTTCACCACTTAAAAAAAAGAAAGAAAGAATCAAACTGCATCCAACATTTTTCCAAGGTATCAGATGGCTTAAATGCCTTTTTTAATGAAACCAATAGTGCATCTTGTCCCAGTTGGGCAATTATTACTCTTAAAATGAAATAACTACGTAACATCTACTCTGCTGACTCAACATTATCATCGCTTCCAAGGAACTTGCCACAAAATTCAAATCCAACTTGCCAGTGAGTTGCAAGGGGCCTTTAACAAAATGCTTTGAATACATTCTGATGCAAATCCTATGTACTTTGGATGGAATGTTGCTATCCCAGTAGACCACACGGCTCCTACAGAGTTGTTAAATGTAATGCTGAATGCACTTTTGGCACACAAGCTAGTTGCAAAAAGCCACACAATTACTCAAAAGAAAATGACTGCTCCTTAGAAAGAATAATAATAACCAATGAGAATGTGCATATACTTGAGCTTTTCAGCCCCAGAGGACTGAGCTTTGTGTGTGGTTCCACAGAGTTCTGAATTTCTGGTAGAGAGACACCCTCCCCAATATCTGAAAGACGCAGCTCTTTATCTTCCTCCATCAGTTTCAACCCATACTGAATAATGGGAGACATGGCCCCATACCCAGCTCCATTGTTTTCTGCAACTAAGACCAGATGGTTTCTTCTATGATATAAGCCTGCTTCACATTCTAAAAATTCAATGTCTTTAATTATTAACTTGAAGACTGTCATTATTTCAGAATGAATGAAATACAGAGCAGCACAACAAACCTGAATGATCCCTGCCTGTTGGACTTCTCTAGATGCTGCAATATCAAGAGAGAAGAGAGAGGTAGGATTGTCACTCGCTAGGAAAGCATATACTTTATAAGCAAGAGACTCAGTCTCTAAGCAGGGCTTAGAAAGAACGCAATCAAAAATCTTGACAACTTTCTGTTAATATGTTGAGAGACACTTTTGAGCTATATGGATCAATATGTTTCAGTGTAAGGCAACTTCATAGGAAGGAAGAGGAGCAAAAAAGGGATATCATGAACCTACTATTGACTTAATCATATAAGGTACATAGCAATCCTATACATTAACTACAAGAATTTTAAGAAGGAAACATAGTTCCCAATACATTCTAAACTTACTTCACCTACTCCCCCAAAATTTCTTAAAATAGGGGATGAAGGGGAGAGACTATAGATGTAAAGGAAGTACACAGAGGCACAAAAAGAAAAATCTTGCTTCTGGAATGTATTGTTTATCTCCTCTGAACTACAGTACATGACTGAAACCATAATCACTAGAGCAGTCACACTACTCATATTAATATAAGTGTCACTTGAGGAATATAGTTACTGAGAACCCAACTCATCAAGCATAGCTGAAATCCATGCTCCATTTGCTTCCAGTGAATTTGCAAGGGGTTCTTACAAATGAATAGAAGCTGAATAGTTCTGGGTGACTTTCAGAAAAGCCAGCCTGATATTATTCTCCCATGGAAGGAGCAAAATTTTATTGTATCTCTCTGTGTGTAACACTAAGATACAATTTGTTCTGCTTGATTTTGGCTTACTGTGTATGTATGTTATGTGCATGCATGCATGTGGCTCAACTCATATTATATGTAAGAAATGCTGCAGAATAAAATAGAAAATAACTGATAGAATTAACAAAGACACCAGCTAAGTTTTTCAAACTGGACTGCAAGGACTTAGAAGTAACTTACCTGGGGCAACATGACGACCCATTCCAAATATGGAATAAATAATAGCAGGAAAGAGTGATCCATATAAACCAAATACTGGATGCACTGAAGATAGAACAGCAAAAGCAAGCCCTGTAAAAAAGGTAAATAAGAATGAAAAGATATAGTATAAGCCGCTATGAAAATATCAACATAATTGACCTAGAAGAATCCCCTTCTAGGGCTATTTTAAGAGGTAGTAGAGTATAATAGCTATATTAGGGCAACAGCTTTGAGACAGAGAATCCCCATTTCCTTCAATCTGTCCCTTTCTAAAAAAAGAATTTTTGTGTCCCTTAAAGCTGTTGCCGCGTGGAATAGTTAATGATGAACTACACACAGACGTAGTATGACTTACAGCAAATTCCAATATTTTCATGTATTAAACTAGCCCTACATTTTTTTTACCATAATTTTGCAACCCAGATATGATAGTCCTAAAGCCAATGTTAAAAAATAAAATGACAGGTAGTTGCAGCCCAGTTATGTGAAAAAGCAAAATAAATTATAGGTATACCTTCTTCAGTGTCTCGTGCAAAGAGTCTCGTGCAAAGTTATTCATTTTGCCAGGATCTAAATGAATGAATAGCCTAGCCCTACATTACGTAATGGTAGAAAAGGGTAAAGCAAAGACAGAAAGTAATGCACAAATAGTAAGTTCCATTAGAGTACATCAGAATATCATGCTAATATGAAGTCAGTACACAAGAACAATATGTGCCTTTGTTACCTTGGGATACTTAGAATGCTACTACTTATTGCTGATGATAGATCACTAACCATGGTATACCTGCAAAGAAAATTACCTCTGGCTGTATTGTTGCTAGCTGCAGAAAATACCAAGTAATGAACTTGGGACACAAGCAGCAACAGAAAAAAATGCCTGTGGTAATCAGGACAACTGCCAAACCAAACTCCAATGCAATTTGCTGAGAAATACTTCCAAGTTCCCCACATTCAAGGTTATAACCACAAGGGCAAAAAGTCTACTTAAAACAATGCCAAGGGTTAAGGATCACACTAGTCATTTTTATAATCTGGAATTTGGCTTTATATTCTATAATATTAAAAAAAGCATCAAAAACTTAACTAGGTCTAATTTAGGAGCAAGGGGCATCTTTCAAATGTGTTTTCAATATATATTAAATCCCTCAATTCTTAATTGGGGATGCTCCAGGTCCCTTCCTGAAATATTGTTGTTTAGTGGGACCTAGGAAGCATGCTTTTTCTGTGGGGGGCCCTAACCTGTGGAATACCTTCCACCCAGTGATCCAGCAGGCCCCCGCCTTTTAGCTTCCAGAAGGCCATAAAGGTGCTGGGGTAGAGTGTGATGAGAGTCTATGGATGGTTGTTGGAGCTTCCCAAAATGATGATTGAGGTGCCAGGTTTTAGGTTTTGTTTTATGGCTTTTATGGTTTCATTGTCACTCATCTTGTGACCTAAGATGGGAGGCCATACAAACCTTTAAAATAAATAAATAAAAATTATCAAATTATGTACTTGCACTGAAGGGAGTTTGAAAGGGGAATGAAGGTGTTAAGAGCCTACCAACTGGTCATTTAAAATATTCACTAGAATGGGTTCGGATATGAGTGCCTTCCGGGTAGAGCATTTTTCTGGGCTCAAATATGTTCCTTCTGGACACCCATTTCCCCATAATTGCATTTTCAATAATTTTGCAATTGTAATATAATTGGTTCCAGTAACACCAATAGGCAGAGATTCAAAGCTAGTCTTATTCCAAACCCTTAAAAAAAAACAGTAATGAAGAAATCTAGCAAGTGCAAAGTGTAATTAGTCAAGCTTATAAAAAGCAGAAGGTTCATAGCTGATATCTCTCTTTCTCCCACCTTTATGGCATAATGGGTCTGTCACTTTTGTGTAGGAGGAGCAATTGACATCTATGTATCACTATTGTAAGGGGGCTTGTCTGATCTCAGGCTCTTTGCTTCTGACCCTGCCCACTCTAATCCTCATACTAAAAAGAAAATATAAAAGTCACCTGGGAGCACCACAACTCTGAACAACTTAGTGTACATTTGGGATACCAACTTAACAAATCCAGTTAAGATCAAGTTAAGTTTCAGCTAAGGTTGAGCCCACTTAGGAGTATATCTAATTAAATGTAATGGGGATTACTTTTGAGTAGACAAGTATAGAAATGCACTGTTAAGTATTTAATCCAACCAATTTCAGAGAAATGTAAACATTCCTAACTTCTTCCAGGTGATGCATTGAAGAATGACAGAACCTGAAGAGCTAACAGAAGTGCTAGCTTTTACAAAGAATATTCCTCTCCATCATCTGAGTTAAAACTCAGATGATGCCCCTAGCTTTCTAGCCCTTACCCTTCTAGAATTTCAGGAAGCATTGAATGCAGCTCTCATAAATACACATGATCCATTTCTCTGATATTTTTAAAATACACATTCCTAGCATGTATATTAGTGGCCCAAGAAAGAATGTGTTTGCCAACTCATGAAGACTTTAAGTTCCTCTGCTTTTTAAGAAACCCATAATCCAAGTAAAAGATTGAGAGCTTCTTTAGGTAGTAGATGGGCTTTGTCCTATAGTTTATGATTAGAATCCTTTGCTAGCAAATTTAATTTTGAAAGCACAAATTAGATGCTTTTGATTTAGTTGAAATTATTAAAGAGCGTAGGAAGTATTGAAAACTTTAAAAAAAATTATATTAACAAGTTATGTTATTAAAAATAAACAGCATCAAAGGAATCTGGGAATTAAAACAAACTTCTCTCTCTGGTACCCATAGCCCATAATCTTGGAAAAGGTGATTGAGAGAAAAATCAGAGAGGCATAAAACAATCTTATTTTACCCTCAAGTCAGAACATCTGGTCAAATGACTGTTTGGGGCTCCAATCAGTTAACATATACAATTAATTACTTCTCTAATCATAGGTTAATCAGTGATGCCATAACATGAATCACTCAAATGATTTACCATTATGTAATAAAGTAAATGTGTCATCTCCTATCTTCTTTTGTCAAACAGGATTGAAGAATTTTAAATTCTTCTCTTTTGTTTCCAAATATATTTTGCCATATAAAGGTGATAGTATTACTATACAGAATTTCTTTGTGAAGAGCAACAGGTGAACTAAATTTGTTTCAGATGATACCATTTTTAAACCTTGAATATTCATTGCTGGTTTTCGAAGTCTGTTTTGAAAGATACTGTTCATATGTCATATTCCTTTCCTTGAAAGTATCCCAGTTCCTTAATCTGATACAATATGAAAAAGACTCTTATTTTCTCATTATAGGTATAATGGATAGAATGATCTGATAGAATGATCTCTCTCAGGATTCTAAAGATAGGATTTGTAAACATCCTGCACTACCTTAACTTTAAAAACTTAACTAATCAACTACCTATTTTCATTATTAAAAAGAAGAGCCAAGATAAATTATTGCAAATGTTTTTAATTCAGCAGATGCCAAAAAGATATAGAAATTGTGTGATTGAGGCAATTGATTAAATCAGTTTATAAATTGTGGAGTCCTTGGTGCTCTCTGAACTTGGTTGTTTGCTTGCAGACATTACATTACCCAACTAGGTAACATCATCAGTGATAGTGAGTGTGGGGTTTGCTCCCTATTTATATACAGTAGCTTGATCTGTGTGATTTTCTTCTCTTCTCTTTTATTGGAACAGTTTATATATTTTTCTTAGGTAACAAAAAGATTCACAGATTCATGAAACTGTACACTTGGAAAGATCCATTTAGTTAAAAGTAAAATAAACCAAGATAATAAAATTATCTATCTATCTGAGTCCAACTACTTGCACATTGCAAATTAAAATATTCTCAGAACATGTCCATCCATATCCCGTTTAAAGATGCCTCTCATGGATGGAAACAGTCTTTCTTGGGTCTATATTCTGTGAATTAATCATTTTTTTCAAAATCCAAATTTATTCTCCACTAATGGAAAGTGTCACCGAGCAACACCAAAATTTATTCTTTAGAGAATAAAAAAAATATGAATGACTGTTGCATCACTGATCTGTTCAAATATAAGCAGCAAGATTACTATTCTATTCTTCCTACAGTATTTATGAAACAATTTTGGTCGATCGATGAATGCATGTTGATAGCTCTCAAAATGAGGCAGAAGTTATGGGGTTGGAGATGGCAACTGAGGAAGGAGATGAGTTAGGAACTTTTTTAAAAATCTTAATGGTAACTCAAGAGATAGTGCAAACATACAGTAGAGCATATGTTATATTTTCATGAGGCATATAGCTTCAGAAATTATCTATGATTTTGCTGAAGAAAGGATGCACTAATATATTTTAATTTATTTCATAAACAATAGCAACTAACCAAAGATTGAATCCCTCCAGTTACTGCTAATTTTTCTATTCTATTCAGTAGTTCTGCCAGGGATAGATCCATATATATACACACACACACAC